TTAGGTCATATAAGTACCGAAGAAAGGACGTTACAAAAATGTTACCAACCTTATAGATTACATTTAAAAGTTATAAGTAACCATCAAAACTTGTTTAGATCTAGACTAGATCTAGATCTAGTTATAGTAAGAGTTTTACGGCACTTGCAACATAATATAATAAGGTCGTATATAGATCTATAAACTTGTACGGCAAACGAGATGACAAAACACAGAAAGGAATTATATTTTTATATATATCCAACCTTGCACTCACAGCAGCCAGCATTTCTTTGCACTGAACACAACACACGACACACGAGAACAGCACTACTAACACCAATGAAAGAAAACACAGTGTCCACCACTGCGCTCTATATTAGAAGCCCCGCACTCCACACTACACAGGTACAGGTACAGGCACACCAAAACTATCAAAATCATCAGCCCCTCAACAGCTGAGATAATCTGCAAAGTCACGACCGTGAACAGACGACAAACTGGAACAAGGTCCCCGGCTGCGTTCAACATCACAAAACGCTGGCCACCGCGACGTTCCGCCGAAAGCGTCAACTAATAATGAGTGAGAAGGAAAACAGCTGTAGGCTAGGGGGCTGGGGAGACTAGGGGCTGGGGAGACGAGGGCGGCTCGATTCGGAATAAATACGTGACAGAGTGGTCTTTGTCGAGTAAAACAGTAGACACAGCACACACAAAACAAACACAGCGGAGTTATTTTATTTTTACTGTGATCAAAAACACAGTCAAGCACTTGTCTGAGTGTTTTTATTTGAATAGATCTTAACAGAAGAATATCGGCATATATAAATAGTATGGATGTTCATTTAAATGCCCGGAAAAAGTAAGCCAGACATACAGACAGACGCAACACAAAATGCAAACTAGCAACATGCACAGTCATTGGCTTTTTTTTCTTCTTCTTAGCGCGCTTTCAAACACAATAGGACAAGGCCTTGGCACCTGCAGTGTTGTGGTTAGGCTCTTTGCTGTCGCATGTTGGAGATCCCAGTTCGAATCCTGAGTGGGAAGACATTTTTAAATCGAATATCGCGGTCGTTCAGTGTCCAGCTGGGGTGGGTTTCTTGTTTTTGTTTTAGTAAGTGTTTTACGGCACTTGCAACACAATAATGTCATATAAGAGCGGAAGATTAGAGGCGTTACAAGAGAGTAACAAACACAAATCAGAAGGAGGGGAGATCAGGACAACAGATGTTTGACAGGAAACCACATCAGAGGACCCGCCAACCACCCACAGCTGGGGTGTTGTAAATAGTATACTTTGCGGAAATATGCGATTATAGGCAGAATGAACAGAAGAACATAGGCATAACAATATTATGAAAGTTCATTTGCGTGCCCGGAAAAAAAAAGTAAGCCTGACAAACAGACAAACGCAACACACGTTGATAACATGCAAAACGCACAGTCATTGTTTGATGATTTGTTGAGGTTATTCTTGTTTTGTTTTGTTTGTGTTTCGTTTTGTTGTGTATGTGTGTGTCTGGGGGGGGGGGGGTGTGTGTGTGTGTGTGTGTGTGTGTGTGTGTGTGTGTGTGTGGGGGGGGGGGGGTGCGTATTCAGATACCAAAGGACCATTCCATGTGTTATTATACATTACGTCGCCAAGGGGATACTACTTTTGAATACACCGTACATGCCGAAGTGTCTATGGATACCTATCGACGATTTATTCACAAAGTACTGGCGCCTGGTGGTGTAGAGGTGAAGCACTAATTGGTTAGCGCTGAGTTCGACTCCCACGGGAAAACACAATTTTTGTTATCGAGTATCGCGGGCATTTAGAAGGGGTGTTGTAAAATTAATTGTGAGGCATCATGGTGAAATCAGGCGCTCGTCGATATAGAGAAATCAAACAAACCAGCATTTTCCTGGGTGTTTGGTGTCTTAAAAAAATTATTTCATTATTTCATTTATTCTTCTTTTTTTTTTAAACGAATTTTCGTTTTTTTGGCTCAACTCCCATAAGTCCATTCATCTTTCTGCTTGACTATTTTTAAACGTTGATTAAATGCACAAAAAAGTAAATTTTCGGTTTTCAAGGATTCTTTAGCTATAAAAGTCACCAAACTTTGGCGGACATTTTCTTACCTTATTTTACTGTTGAAGCCAGGTGACCCCCATCTCCTTTAATCCAAAATATCTCTACTTCTATTCAAGATAGATGGGGGTATTGTTTTCAATAAAAGCAAGTCAAATGAACAAGCGTCAAGATGATTCCCATAACTCCATATGCCCAAAACTTGACGAGCGCCTGATTCCACCACGTCGCGAGACAATTCAGAAGAAGAAGAAGAAGAGGAAGAGGAAAAGGAGGAGGAGGAGGAGGGGGAGGAGGAGGAAGAGGAAGAAGAAGAAAAAGAAGAAGAAGAAGAAGAAGAAGAAGAAGAAGAAGAAGAAGAAGAAGAAGAAGAAGAAGAAGAAGAAGAAGAAGAACAAGAAGAAGAAGAAGAAGAACAACAACAACAACAATAACAATAAAGAATTAGAATGGACCTATCACTGCTTAAAATAAAAATGTTTTAGCAAGTCATCTTCCCCATGTTGAGTGTGTCGTCACTTCATTTTCCATTTTCGTGGAATGGCCACAGAAAAAATATACACAGTGATATGATATTACATTCATAATACATCATGTCGCTTATCAGTGGCGTCTGTGATGTGGTTCTTGAGCTTATCTGATCACAATGGCAAACTGAAGACGGTGGGTGGCTGGCCGGTGCTCTGGTGTGGCTTGCTCGGACTTCTCTATCAAAAGAATATCAATCGTCCTTGTCTCTCCTCTTTGAGTATGTGTGTGTATGTGTGTGTGTGTGTGTGTGTGTGTGTGTGTGTGTGTGTGTGTGTGTGTGTTATTCTCTTGTAATATTTCTAATTTTCGGCACTCATATATTATAAGGTCTGATTGTGTTGCAAGTGCTGTGAAAATTTTACTTATAGTAAAAACTGAAGACGTGAGTTCGGCTCCCGAGTGGGGAAGTTATTTTCATCGAGCGTTTCCGTCGGTCAGCCAGGGTGCTGTTTCCCTGACCAAGACGCCATGTTTATTTACCCCCAACAGACAGGCTCCTATAATTTTAGGTAAAGTTTTCCGGCACTTGTTCATACAATTAGGTAATATTATATTAGTTTAGTTTTAGTAAGAGTTTAACGGCGCTTGCAACACAATAAGGTCACATGAGTACCGGAGACTAGAGGTGTTACAAGAAAGTTACAAACACACGAAAAAAGAAGGTGGGGAGAAAAGGATGATAGATGTCTGATTACTTTGATAGGATAGAAGGAAGAAACCATACCAGAGCACCCGCCAACCTCCCACTCTGTGCAGTATATTTATGGGATTTTGTCGGTGTTTATTATTATGAAAATGAAAAATGGACGAGTAATGAAAATGACATCAGGATAGAGAATGTTGCTGTATAAATAAAACTGTAAGCGCAGATGTGGGAAAATCCGTAAAGTAGAAACCTCTCATTTATTACGTATTTTTCACCTTTATAATACCCCCCCCCCCCTTTCCCCACGCTCCCTCTTATAAACACTTTCTGTTTTTTTGTTTTAGTAAATGTTTTACGGCACTTTCAACACAATAAGGTCAAACAAGTGCTGAAGATTACAGGTGTTACAAGAAAATAACGAACGGAAAAAAAGAAGGTGGGGAGATAAGGACGAATAAATATGTTTGATAAGAAAGAAGAAGCAAGCCACACTAGAGCATCCGCCAACCACTTTCTCCAACGATATTTCCAAAAAAAATAATAAATTCGGGCGCAGTTGGGACGAGGTCAAAACTGTGTCAACAGAGCTTCATTGGTTTCCATATTTTCCGAAAGAAACCACACGATGCACTGAGTCAGCGAAACGGGAACCGCGATATAATACGTCCAGCGACTACTTTTAGTAGATCTAGTTTCTTGTTTTTTTGATTGCTTGTCGGTGACAAAGATAAAGTCAAACCGGTTGGTTTTCAATGTTTCTTCATGTTATACGGGAGAACTGCTGCGTCTGCCCTACATGCCACGCTAAACCAGGTTAAGTGGAATAAAACATCCGAGCAGAGAAACAGGGAGAGAGAGAGGGGAGAGAGAGAGAGCGAGAGAGAGAGAGGGAGAGAGGGAGAGAGAGAGAGAGAGAGAGAGAGAGGGGGGAGAGTGAGAGAGAGAGGGAGAGAGAGAGAGAGAGAGAGAGAGAGAGAGAGAGAGAGAGAGAGAGAGGGAGAGAGAGAGAGAGAGAGAGAGAGAGAGAGTGAGAGTGAGAGAGAGTGAGAGAGAGAGGGAGGGAGAGAGAGAGGGAGAGAGGGAGAGAGAGAGAGAGAGAGAGAGAGAGAGAGAGAGAGAGAGAGAGAGAGGGTTTTTAAAAAAAGTTTTAGAAGAGGTTTTACGGCGCTCGCAACTGCATAA